TAATTAGGATACTTGGTTTAGGAGTTATGGCTTTTTTTACTTCAAAAATCTTAGGATATGTGTTGATGTTAGCAATTTTGGCTTTTACTGCAGAGATGCTGCCTAATCTGCTTATTGGCCAAAGAAGACAATTGAATTGGGCTCAATTTGGTGAAGGAAGTGATGGAGAAAATTATTTTTTTGGGAGGAGAAGGGGGGTCGGCGGGGATGCCTCCTGCCACTGGTCGGCGGGTAGGCGCCCCCGTGACAGGAGGATAAAGAGGCAGTATAATATTTGTCAACCATGGGTGGCGGAGGACTACTGGTGGGCAACAATGTGGGGGAGTGTTTAGGTAATGTTCTAGCATAAGTAGGTTAGAGATGCAGAATCCAGGGGAACCATCAGAGATGGAGGAAAAGTTGTAAAGGAGATAAGGAGGAGGATAATATATATGAAGTTGTCCTAATGTTTTAAAAAACTTGAGCTCAAAAAGCATGTGTTATACACCCCAAATTTCAAAACCGAACACATCAACCCCTAACAACAGGCAAAGTGGTTTCCCTATGTGGTTTTGCTAAAAAACAGACAATATACACCCCTCAACTCTCAAAATCATACAAATTAGTAAATTACATAGGGCCAACATGTAAGCATCTCTCTCCTTCATGCATCCCAAGGCCCCCTCCCTTTCTTTTTCACTTAAATACTAGCCAAACCCACCGATCATTCTCCTCAAACCCTCCTTTCACTAGTATACCCACTGTATGGAGAGAAAAGAAATGAGGCTTGCAAATGGACGTAAATGGGTGACGTAGCAAAAAAAATGTGAGTGTCTAAAAACCATGGAAAATGAGGGTTAGAATATTTTGACACGTGAGGCCAAGCCACATCAGTAAAATCATCTTGGAAACCACTTGAACAACCAAGGGTCATATTTTTTTGGATTTCAAAGTTAAGTGGTATGGGATCTCTATTTTTCAGCAAAACCACCTTGAAAAAACAGTTTTAAGAGTTGACGGTGTATGATTTTCTAGTTCTCTAGTTTATGGGAGTTTTTCCTACTTCATAACAAGTTCCCGCAAAGTAAAATGGGCTTCACTCAATATTTATGTCTATGGATTGTAGCTTCCAACTCACGGTCGTGTTATAGCAATCCAATTTTGTTCTAGAATCTATAGCTCAATATCATACGACTCGTACATTAACTTTTAGGCTCAATTCTAAAAAAATTCATGTCGCATGGTCAATTAATTCCACCAATGTAGATCGTGTTGACAATTATAACTTTTGTATAGATCATGTCAACATCTGGAGCTGTTTGAAAATTCTAGATTTTGAATGATTTTGAGTTGCAGCTTTTGGGTGTTGGATTAAAAGTTGGCTTTCTCGCTGTTGGATTTTATTTTATTTTTGCTTTTGTAATAATTTTTCGTTTCTCATGACCCCAAAAACCAGAAAAAGCTCCTCTCAACGTTCTTTTTAGCTTTTAGTTCATTTCCTCATAAGATAGTTTTCTAAAAAAAATCAAAAAACTAGCTCAACACAATTGGGTTGTTTGTTTTGGCTTCTAGCTTCTGGCTGGCAGCTGAAACAAGCAGGCATTTAGCCTTCTTCATAATGGATGAATAACAATGGAACTTACAACGTGTAATACTTTGCTCATATTCATAGAATTCAAGACGATGCATGAATATATTGATCAAGACGTAGCAAGGGGGGTCTACCATAGAGGAAGTTATTGTAGGTCTTCACAATGTAACCGTAGCAAAAGTTGCTTGTGGGAGTCATGGAGAATGTCCCTGTACGATGACATGGATGTGTATAATAAGCGTAAACTAAGCTCAGCTCCACTAGTTAGAATACTCATGATGAACCTATCTGTTCAAGTACTTGACTTTACGCAAGTGCTCACATTTTTTGTAGACTTTATTTAGAATTTAGTGGTACTATTTTTTCATGATAGCTGTTGTGTCCATCGATAGCAAGACACATTTGATGATTTCATTCATCAGGACCTATCGGCTCAGTTTTTAGGAGGTGATTATAAGGGTAGTGGGGTTGTGATCATAAGGTTAAGTGATACATAGATTAATAAAAATGAATACACGTGCATGTATATGAGCATTTGTTGTTGGTAACGTAATTTAGAAAAATGGAAAAGCACGAACTAAGGTCTGTTTGGATCATAGCCTCGCAGGCAATACCTGATCAGGCAAGTGATCCTGGCCTCAGGCGTTCGAAATCGATCGGCTGGGGGCGCTGCCTGGCCAGGCAGCCGGTCGCCACCGCCAACCAAATAGGCCCTAAATGCAGAGCAGCTCACAAATGTGTGTGTTCAAAACCCAAAAGGGAAAAGGCACATGAAAGAAAGGGAGAAAAAAGAGGTTGACCGACCCAGGAGGTGGAAATGAAGCTTATTCATGGGCCGATTCAACCCATTACGTGTTGTAGGAAATGAAAATTGGGCTTACATATAGGTAATGAAAAATGTCAGAGCTGTTAGCGTGAACCATCACTTCTTCAGGCCACAGTCCATATCATATGAGAAAAAAATTAAATGAGGACGGTTCTCATGTAGCAATCATGGATTCATGTCACGTGTCCATATACATACATTTAATGCATAGAACTGCTGCTTAAATTTAAGAGGAATAATTGAAAATAAAAATTACATTTCTATCATGTGTGTTTAGATGCATGGACATTGTCGTGAATTCACATTGGTGTACATGGTTGCTCCACAAGGAGTTGAGGACTGTCCTCTGAATGTTTTCCCCATCATACGAAGCTTCCTGTCTACGCACCGTTTTCGCTTCAATAATGGCTACATGCATAAACAGCCGCTCCAAGCCTTAATATTTTTGTTTTTGTGTGTAAAAATTGTCCCAAAAGGAACACTACCAGGTTGGCCAAACATATTGCTCACGGCAGCTGGTCTCCCTTTACAGCAGGTAGCCCAACCAAAACACAAGGGTGCCAGTTGCAGCATGCAAATCTGGTCGTTGATGCTCACTAGTATTTTTAGCCCTACTTTTTTGGGTGGCACGCGCAATGCTTAGCTTCCCAGACACCTGAGACTCAAATCAAACTTGATAAATACGTACTTGGGTTAACATTAACCTTGTAAAGTACAGTGCTAGTGCACCACCTATATTTCTTCAGGGTCACATGACCAGTGACTGGAGAATTTTCGAATCAGATTGCTCGATGCCTGGCTGAAAGAAACGAGATGAGCTACAACAGCAACAGTTCTTGGATCCCAAACAAAGCAATGCCGCCACATTGGGTCCAGGCGTCGTCCCAGGGTTTCTCAATAAGCAAAGTGTATGGTTGGAGTGTGTCCAGCAGACAAGCATTGCATTATGACGATGATGAACCCTCGTCCCGAGTTCTGGATATTCAACTCACCAACCTTGAACCCTTGACCTCACACCAACCTAAAAAGGCTTTGACATTATTGGGTAGGCAATATATGATCTTAAATAAATGCTTATGCTTTGACTCATAGGCGGAGCTAGAGTTAATCTAAGGGGTGTGCACTTGCCTTGTGTGTGCAAAGATTTATAATTTGTGGGTGCAAATATGGTAAAAATTTAGCTTATATCACTATCCTTTTTATTTTTGCGTGGATGTAGCCGCACACCACTGCAATTCATGTAACTTCGCCCCTGAAATCTGCCCTATGCCCCCATGTATTGTTTTTCATCTCATCAGCTCGCTTTGCACACACAGTCACTGGTGGTAACATGCATGCACTGTTTTTCATCTCGTCAGCTCGTGCCTCATGTGCGGAGATACTCAAACGCTGCAAGGAGGCAATACCACCAGTGGGAGGAAAAGTACGGCTTCGAGAGGGATGAGCGTCAGTGGAAGAAGATATTCTTGGATATTCTTGGGGGGTTGGATTCACCGACTGCACACTGATCCCACTACAAGATCCCCTATCTCTAATTGTGCTTTATCCATGTCCATATCCATCAGTGGTGGAGACGGTTAAGGCGATCGGCGCCAGCGTGGCCAAGGAGGACTATTGCTTCTTGTGCACCAAGGCGAGAGTGCAACAGAAATTGCCGTCAAGGGCATATGCCCCCATGTGCATGCACCGTTCGATGCACATGGGATACGTGTGCATATGCCCTTGAGGTGAAAAACAACTTTGCCGGCGGCGAGTCATGCGTCATGTGGCCTGCTCTGCTGCGGCTAGAATAATAAACAAACTCGAATTTGACATTACGACCACATGACCTTCAATATGTGTAATTTCGACTGTTATTCCTATCATAATACAATTGTCAAAATATCTTTCAAGATAAATGTCGAAATAAATGTAAACAAAATATTACGTAATTTTTGGTGGTCAAAATGCAGAAGTTTGATCACAAACTTGTGGGCACTCGGCACCATCTGGTGCTTCCTTTTCTTTGAATTGAAGAGGGCACATTCTGCTTGGTTGAAAACATAAGCCCTCACTTCTAAGCCTGCTACTAGTCATTTAGCCTGATCGGGAGGCCGTAAACGATCGTGTATTATTTACTGCTGGCTGGTTTGGTGTGAAAGAAAAATACTGTTCTGGCTGAAAATTTACGATCGTTTACGACCAAGCGAACAGGCTGATTATAATTAACGATGTGATGGAAGTTCATCATCGAACCCATCAAGAAGAAACTAGAAACATGCATAATATATGTAACATCATTTGCAATTAGCAAACACATTGCTCCTTCATTTGCAAAAAAGTTACTATATATGTAATGCAATCGACAACAAAAAAAAACATGCAACAATTTGCAAGCAACAACCTATATACAGTTTGGCTAACAGGACAGGAACAAAAGTAACAGTACAGTTCAGACTACAAACGCACACAACCGTACTGGATTCAACTGCAGAACTGTCTTCTAGCTTCTTCACCAATTCACTGCGTCATTCATCCAAAATGACAGACCAAGAAGAAAGCACGGCAAGGTTTCAACCCGATGAGAAAAGCATGTCCCAACAAAATCCAGCAGATGGACCTAAATTAATCAATGCACACGGATCGCCATTGATGAGAGCTTGGTGGTGTCGCGACAGGCGTAGCGCTCCAGCTTGCAACGCGCCGGCGGTGAGGCAAACTGCTGCGGCCATGGTGGCCCTCGTCGTTCCTGCAGACCGACGTGTGGTCATCATCGCTGCTGTCGCGGCCCATCTTGCGCAGCACCGTCTGAACCACCTCCTTGTCGACGCCCGGGCTCGCCTGCTCGGCGATGAGCATGAGTGGGCGGTCCGCGCCTGCCGCTCTGGCGAGCCCCCGGAACCGCGGGCTCCCCCTGCTCATGGCGTACAACGCCTCCACGCAACATTCCTGCAGCTCCGCGTCGCACGCTCCTTCAGACAGGATGGCGGACGCCGTGGCCACGGCGCCCGCGTCCATCAGCGCGGCGCTGCCCTCCGCGCAGGCAGCCACGTTGCAGAGCACCATGAGCGCCAGCCTGCGGATGGGCGCCGTCTCAGCGGCGTCGCACGCGACGGAGAGCAGGGTCCTGGACGCGCCCGGGGCGCGCGCGAGCTTGGACTGGTTCACGGCGGCCAAGGAGAGGTGGTACAGCGCCATCCCGGCGTCGCGGCGCGCGCGCGGGGCGGCGTGGTCGCGGTCCGCGAGCGCCGCGAGGAGCGGCGGCAAGGCGCCGAGCACGCCGATGGCGGCGCGGTTGCCCTCGTGGAGGGCGAGGCCGAAGAGCGCCCCCGCCGCGTGCTCGCGCGCCTCGGCCGGCGAGGCGGCCGACGCGAGCACCTCGACGAGCGCCGGCACCGCGCCCGCGCGCACGACGGGCACCCTGTTCTCCGGCTCCAGCGAGAGGTTCACCAGCGCCGCGGCGGCGTCCGCGCGCGCCGACGCGGTGTGGCGCGAGGACAGCAGCACGCGCCTGAGCGCCGCCAGCAGCCGCGGACCGCACAGCGCGCGCCGCCTCGCCGCGCCCTCCCGCGTCGCCCGCCGCAGTGCGGCCATCGCCGCCTCCACTTCCGTCTCGTCCCTGGCCTCCACCACCTTCGCCACGACCTCCTCCTCTGCGTCAGCAACACGCACGGGCTCGTCTTGTTCCACTTTCGCCGCCTCCTTCCCGCGCACCACCACCTGCACCTCGACCGGCGCCATCTCCCTTGACGACCTACCCGACGACGAGGACGACGTGGAGGCAGCGGACGCCCCCTCCGACGAGCACGACAGGTTCGACGCGGACCTCGCCGGGACCGGAACCCCCTCCGACGAGCACGACAGGTTCGATGACGACCTCGTTGGAGGCTGCGTCCCCGCCGCCACCGCGCGGAGCACGGCCACCCTCGCCTCCTCGCCCGAAGGCGCCACGGGCGCCGCGCGACCTGAGCGCGCGCACCACGTCCGGACGGCCGCCCGGAGCGCGTCGTTGGGTATGGCAGCGGCAACGCCTCCGCCCGGTGTGCCCCTGTCGCCCGCCACCACTCCGTCAGGGCCGAGAGAGAGGCCAAGCTCCGCGCAGGCTAGGACGCACGCGCGCTCGTACGTCCGGCCCGACGGCAGGATGACCGGGTCCGCCATCGGCGTGCGGAGGATGGGGCAGCACAGGAAGTCCGCCGGCACCTCCTCTTCCTCTCCCTTCTCCTTCGTCGCCGGGGCCGGAGGAACAGTGACGCCCGGCGGCCTGTTCTTGGGCTTCGATGCTGCCGGCGGTGGCAGGGACAGCGACCGGAAGGGCAGGAGCTTCCAGCGCCGCGCGCGCTCGGCACCCATCTGACCGGCCGCGTCGCCGGCGCCGGAGCTTTTCAGCAGCAAAGCAGCAGCTGCTTTTGGTGGTGCAACGCCAATAATGGCGGCTGCTTTTGGCTTGGGGACTGGGGTTCGGCAACTTTGGCTGGCTGGCTGGCTAGCTGGGGCGGGGAGTGGGAGTGGAGGGCTTTTTTTCTTGGCGGTTAAATATTGCGGAGGAGAAGGTGACTTAGCGGTGAAGGGATCAGCGCGGTTAGTTAGGCTACCGGGCGAAGGCGGGCGCGGAAGGCTGCGGCGGGCCGGTGGCAGTGGCTGCGGTGGGGGCACTGAACAATGGAGTGTTGCGGTTGGAGGCAGTCGCGTCGCCGTCGCGCTGGACGGCGGAGGGAAAAAGCTGGCGCCGGTCGTTTACCGGGGGCGTCTTTTTGTCGGAGGGGTCCGGCTAAACCAGAGTTTTGTTTTTCTTTTATTTCTTTTCCCCTCTCTCTCTCTCGGGCTCGGCTATAAACAAGAATGGCCTCGAGCTGAGTATTTCAGTCAATTTCAGTATTTTTCCGCAAGATCTCACGCTAGTTTGCTAAAACAACACATTCTAATTTATCCCCACTAACTTATCACTGAATTTTAAAATAATCTCGAACTCGAATACCGGAGGACATATCACCTTATTAATCCTCTAAAATAGTTTAGGGTACTTTTGATGGTAGTTTTGGCTCATATGGTACACGAGCCCTCCACGCTTCCGTTTTTTTTTTTGGCTATGCCACATTTTATTGAATATTTGAGATTCCAAATGGTCTCAAATAAAAATAAATCAACTATAATGTTTTAGATCTTCTTGAGTACTATAAATTTGGTATAAAGTGTGTCTCTATTCGGGTTATTTAAACTTCATAATTAGAGAACTTAAAATGAATATTTGGGATTTCTAAATGATCTCAAATAAAAGGGTTGTCAACTACAAGTTTAAAGATGACGTTCAGATCTAAAACTCTTTTGATGTTAATGTACAAGGTCATTTGAAAATTAAAAAATAAATTTCAAAATATGTGAACTTCAAAAGAATATTTAAACCTCTAAACGACCTTAGATAAAAAAAATTATCAGTTATAAAGTTTTATATCATATTGATAGATACGACCTTGGTGTCAACATCTGAGGTCGTTTGGAAAATTAAAAAATGGATTTCAAAATCTAAGGATTTAGGTCTCTAAACGATCTCAGACAAAAAGATTATCAACTACAAAGAATAAATCACATTGAGGGCTAAAACTTTGGTATATATCGTGTCAACATTGTTGGGTAAAGTAATCACCCAAGCATCAAAGTTTGAACACAAGTCAAGGTTGTATTTATTTTATGATCGTACTGCACATGTCAGAGGGGGTATTTATAGATGTCACAGTCTTCGTATTTTACATAAAATGACCATTTTACCCCTAATCCTCATAATTACAACCCTTCTCAACTAAAGGGTGAAGTTGTCTTTTTCTCTTTCTGAGCCTTCATTCTTTAACCTTTGGTCATCAATCTTCTTTATGTCTTCGTCTTTTGGACTTAGCTGATTTTCGCTCTATCTTCTTCTGCTTTCAAAATGTTTATGCGAAGTCGAATTCTTGTCTTCGCTTAATCTTGTTTCCTTCTTTTCTCCAGCGAAGACAAAGTTTCCCCAGCGAAGACGAACTCTTGTTGGCGAAGTCAAATTTTCATCTTCGCTCTGTTTCTTTTTCCTACAAGTCAACTTTGTTACAGAAATCACAATTTTAACTCCGATATTTCAGGGGCTGAGTTTTCTTGGCGAAGTTAAATCTCCAACAAACATCTAAGGTCATTTGAAAATTATAATATTGAATTTCAAAATCTGATAACTCAAACAAATATTTGAGCTTGTATAAAATCTTAAATAAAAAAATTGTCAACTACAGCCTCCATCCCACGAGGAGTGTCATTTCAATTTTAACCTAAGTCAAACGATCTTAAATTTTAACTAAGTTTATATAAATAAATAGTAATGTTTATGATACCAAATAAATATCATTAAATTCACCATGAAATACATTTTTCATAGTAAATTTATTTGGTGTCATAAATTTCAATAATATTTTCTATAAACTTGGTCGAGCATAAAATACTTTGACTTAGAAGTAAACCAAAACTTCACCTCTTTGTGGGCGCCTAAAGTTATACAATTTTGATATAAAATTTGTACTCATCCGACTTCATATGAAAAGTTATGTGTTTTTATATACGAGAAAGAGAGACCACCTGATATGTAGACCCCATTTACTACGTTAGCAAAACTCAAGAAACCACTTGAAATGGTCAGAGGGGTATTTTATCTAATTTTGAAAGTTAAAGTGTATTTTATCTGATATTGGAGTTCGAGGAGAGGGTTTGAGTTTGTGAGGGTAAATCAGACTTGACAAAAAGAAATATATCAAACCGCTATAGTTTTTATGGACCAAATTTTGCTACAAGTGTTCTCTTTGGTCTCTAGTACATGAGTTTAGAAAAAGTTATTTGACAATGACAAAATTAAAGTGCAAATGCCCAATTGAGCATTTTATGTAGCACTGTGAGCCAAAATGTCTTATAAAAATAATATATCTATAAAAACCCTAAATGTCTTATAATTTAGAACGAATGGACTATTACCTAGTCTATGTTCATTCTTTTTATATATAATTGATCGGCAACTCTCCTGTACAATTCATTTAAATAAAAGAGCCCGGTCCGTAAAAAAAAAAGAGCTAGTAGACAGGCCATGGTAATGGTATAAATGGTTTTACTGGGGTGAATTTAATTGAAACCGTAATCTTGCATTACAATGTGGCACTGCTACCATCCGGCTCCTTTAGTGCGGAGACGTCCTCGATCGCTTTTGGTTCTCCATACAATCTTTGTGGACCTGGCTTCTGGCATGATGCGCACCTATGGGTTCAGACTTCAGAGCTGTTCAAGTGTTCATACCTGGCAAATCTGGACGTAAGTTACGTACTAGTAATACGGAGGGAATACGTACAGAAAAAAATTGTCAGTGTGTGATGACGCATCTGAGCTCCCGTGCGTCAGTGCGTGTCTATCTGTCATAATCTGGCCTTATGATTATGAGCCGGTCATCATGTTCTGGAGCTGTAAACGGCTGGCTGACACTGTCATGGCATGTCCATGAGCAAGCCAGAGCATGCAACTGGGGTAATGGCATAGCCAGCTGATTCATGACTCATGAGCCGAGATGCACGGTCAAGTGAACGCCATTCGCACGGATTTTTCACTCTGCTCTACACCAATGGCCAATGGGGGTAGTTTGCTGGTATCTGAATGCACGGTCAAGTGAGAAATAGAGCATCTGAAATCTGACTACAATCGCACGCACGTCCATCGTCGAACTTCTTGCCCTACTCCTACCAGCAAATTAAACTACTATCCCCATTGCTCCATGTTTCAGATGCCACATGCATGCGTCCTCCTTTCACCTGAGAAAAGCCAACGCTACCCTACCTACACATCTTTGCTGTTGCCTGTTGGTCTTTTCTTTATTGTAGGAGTAGTAGTAGTACTGATACTTGCAAGATTTTGTGAGATACTCCTCCTGCAGTGGTAAACAACAGTCCGTCAAACAGTGCGATGGAAAAGGTACTCTCTACTCCGTCCATCATATTCTTAAATCTTAATCCGATCAACTCAAAGTGGCCTGGGTCCTACAAGATCCGGTGTGATCTTATTCGTTTCAGATCGCAGCTCAGAGTTCAGAGTCTGATGCCATCATGGTCTCTGGCATGCATTACACCACAAAATTTATCCATCAAAGATGATTGGATTTATTATAACACCCTAAAATTTGCTTCTACAGAAATAGAGCTAAAATTATTTAATTTTGCATTTTTATGCTCATGAAAACATGGGAAAATAATAAATTTTCATTAGATTAAAATTTATCTTAAGGTAGAAACGTGTCTGTTGCATTCATGCCGTTCGCACCTTGTGTTTCTACGTGTAAAATGTGTGTTTTTTTAAATACGTTTAGGAGACGAATATCTATCTCTAGAAATTTTCCAGCTTTTTCTGAAATTTAATTCCTACCTCCTTCATTTTAATCTTTATGTTTCAAGTTCCCAACAATCTTTTCATGAGCTTCAAATACTTTATTTGGGTTCATCATATTCCAAAGTGTCTCTGGAAAATTTCCTCAAATTTTTGGAGGTCTCGAAGTATTTTTCGTGGCTTAAATATTAATTCTTGACTTTTCTAAAATTATTTTATTCACAAAATTAATTAATCCCGAAAATAAATAATATATCTCATTTTTCAACCAACTCTCAAAGCCCATGTGCAATAATCTTAATAAATCTCAAAGGCCCATGCATTTATTTACTAATAGACTTTAATGATTATTTAGACACATTAGTAAATGTGGAGGGTGCAACGTCAATTAGTACCACATTGCTAGTTGATGTAGATGTAGAGAGTTTTCTCCCTATAAATATGTACCAACCCCTTAGGCAAATCACACCAAAACTACCGTAAAGAGAGCTCATAGTTTGGGAAATCCTTCGTGTAGTAAATTAGTTTTTTCTTCTCTTTCTCTCGCCGTCGCCGCCGCGCTGCCCGATGCCGTAGACCCGCCATCGACCGCAAGAAGGCCCTAGGTGAGTTCGCTGTCTTTTCCTCTTATTCCCTGTGCTCTCGGCTCGTCAAACCGTGGCCTCTAGGACCCAAACCAAGCGCTCCGGGGAGCTTCTCGCCGTCGGTAATAGAGCTCCGCCGCGCCGGTTTTCTTCTCCGGCCGGTGACTTTCTCTCCCCCTCCTATCTAATCTAGGACGTTCAGATTCAATCTAACGGTCCAAGATCGCCCGTACCCCTTCGCCGGGTTTATTTGTAAAAGAGACCATGCAGTTTCGCGTAATATAACCAGCAATCCATGGCGCACTTCCAGAATACGTTTTCCTATTCTGAAAGCGTAGTTTCTTTCTAGTAGATTCAGAATATGTTTTCTTTTTCAGAAAGCGTAAAATCCATCTG